GAATTTACGGGATCTCCACACTGATCGCTGGAGAGGAGACCTTGCTTGCTTTCGAGGGGAAGGGCTTTATTTCCTTTTCCTGCAGAGGCTCCCTGGAACAGACCTCCAAACCCGGACGCTTTTAGTCGAAAGAGAGGACGGTGGACTTGCACACTTCAGAGAGGCTATACAAAGATCTGTTCTGTTGCTGCCCCTATTGGCACAGCTGTCCTCGAAGTTCCATACTGGCAAGCGAATCTCTATCCCTTTTTCTTCTCTTCCCTCTTTCCCATTACTATTTTCCCCCCTCTGAAACAAAAACAAACCAACAACAAAAAAAAGCTTTTGTTCTACTTTGACTTCTTTGGCTTTGTTCGGAAACAGTGGGGCCAAGTTAGACTACGGCTCAGTGGGGGGGGGGGGTTCGAGCGCGCCCGGGGACCCAGGAGAGATAAGCGCGCGCGCGCACACACACACACACACACACACACACACACACACGACTCCCCAGCCCGTTGCCCGCGCGTCCTGGCACTCAAACACCCGAACGCGCGCTCCGAGCCCTGGAACAGGGAATTGTGGCTGCTGGAGCTGAAGAGAGGCGCAGCAGCGAAGAGCGAGGGCCTCAGGCCCCGCATCTCCGCGATGCCGACGAGAGCTCCGGCGGCCAGCAGACGGCGATCGCGGCCCGCATGGAGGCTGGGTCAGGGCAGACGCGCGCGGAGCCTGGGCCGGGGTCGCGCACCCGGGCGGGCTCATCCCGCGCCTCGGGGCTGTGAGGGGGAACCGTGCCTCCGCCCCGCCGCGCGGAGTCCGCCTGCAGCCTGCACCCGGGCCAGCGCCGGGGGCCCCTCCCACTCGCGCGCTCCTCCCTTCTCTTCGCTGTCTGTGCCTCCCGTTGGAAGCCTTCCTGTTGGACCAGGCCCCCCTCGAAAGCCTCTACCAATTGAACTTCCTCTTCTTTTTCTCTCTCCTGCGCTTTCTTTGCTGCCTTCTCCTCTTCCTCGCTCGGATCACTCTTTTCTCTCCCAAAAGTCCTGCGGAGTAATTAGCGGCTACCTCCTGATTTGCCTCGCTAGAACTCTAGTCTCAGCCCTTTGGGAGGACACCAGAGCCTGGAAGACTGCCCTGGTCGATCCACCGAGGTGTCTACAGTGGCCTCAGCCCTCAAAGGGCCTTGGAAGCCGCTGGAACCAAACTGTGAGAGGACAGTGGGCACAGGTGGACACATCCCCGGGGAGGATGTCACCAGGACAGGCCGTCTGCGCCAAGATGGAGAAAGACAGTTTTAGTTTCCTTTGCTTCCCTAAGGTGACCTTTGACTGTCTCCCCAGAACTAATCTGCCCATCTCTCTGCTTGGAGCTTGAGACGAGCTGGTACAAAGAGTCACCCGCAGGTGCCTGAAAGCTAGTTTTCGTGTAGATTGCTAGGGGCAGGGGGGGGATTCTGTCCAGTGATCCTCTCTACTTCCCAAATTTCTCCTCAGCACAACCACAAGGCGGGAGAGAAGGCAAAAGCCAAATTTTTAGTTACTGCGTATAGGCAGTTGAAGCTAATGTTCAAGTCCAAAACTCAATGTATTTGAAAGTCAAGGACTCATATAATTGTCCAAATACATCACATACATATGTACGCATATATTTTGTGTGTACACATATATGTAAACACGTGCATATAGTGTGAACGCATGTATGCATATATGTACACTTGTGCATATGCATGAATGTGTACATTCTGCATGTACACATGTATGCCTATGCACGTATTGTGTAGAGATGTATGTGATCATATATCTGCATATAGTCTGTGTGTACACATGGATGCATATGTTCTGTGTACACACATGTATGTGCACGTGTGTGTGTGTGTAATTTCCTCTAATAATGACTTGGATCTGAATTTTCTTTAATGATCATGCCCACAAGTGAAATAAAAAAACAGAAAGCATTTTTACTTATCTATATTTCTAAGTTGATCTTCTCTATGGTATTTTGAGCACAGAGGCACAATTAAGTTTCTGAGTTGCCAAGAGAGCAAACTTGGTCAACCAAGAGTAAACAAATCCTCCAGTGCCTGGCCTTTGAGAAAGTACTCGGCTTGAAGGAGGTTCCTGCCAACCTTGGGGGGGGGCAGAAGGGAGAAACAGCATGGGAAGAATGGGTGTTTTTTAAACTGGCTTTGGACTGTTTTCTCTATTTTTAAAGATTTACTGGAAAGAAGGGTCAGAAGGAGCAAGTAACCGAGGCTCCCAGAAGCCATTACTGGCAGGAGTTGATATGACGTTTCTCAATCTTCGTGCCAGGATGGAAGGCACTGAGAGATCTGGTACGCAGTGCCCTGCCACTGCCTAATTGGCACAGGCGGTGGCTGCCAATCATCTATTGCTTGGCAACAAGTTACACCTGCAGCTCCAGTTTAATATTTATGCATGTGGGCACCCATAGTGTGTGCACTCGCTTGGGCCCAGGGAACATCTCCTCACTAAAAAGGACTTATGGAGAGCACCCCAAACGTTAAAGCACTAGCATGATCTTATACAAGGCTAAACCATTTACCTCCTATTTAGATGTTCTGGAAAACAAGGGTAATGTATTTGAAAACAATTTTCAGAACTATGGCAGAAAGAAACTAGACCATTTCAAAGTCAGTTATCCAAGTTCCCCAAAGCATAAAGCATTCCTGCAATGCACTCTGGAGTGCAGGGTGTTTATAAAATAAATTGCTCCATTGATATGGAAAATAATGTGCCAAGCCTGATTCATACAAAGCATTTTCAGGGGGTCTTAGGCTATTTAGTTTAAAATCTAAATGGAAAAGCAGAGGAAAGAAATCTTTCAATTGCTAAGTGGATAATATAGTTTATAATTTGTAAACCATTTCCTTTATTTCAGCCTTGCTGACTTTCCATAACACACTGGATCTCACTGCACACCCATCGCCTCCAAAATTATCAAAGGAAAAACTGGTCTATAGCATTCTTAAACAATATTCTTGTTCTTTTTTTGTTCATTCACAATGTAACTGATATTTGGAGGTAGTGCATGAAACAAATCAAAAGATTTAACAAACTCAATTGGTGAAATAAGAAGGTAGTTGAAAACCAAGTTTATAACCTAGATATTTAGTGACAAATAAATACGAAATGACATTTCCTTTTTTATGTAATTATATATTATTCAATGAGTTCACTATTAAATGCTGAATGGCCTGAAATGAAAGCAGTTTAATCTGCAGAGACCAATTTGCTGCTGCATTCCATACTGTAGCAACCTTGCAATATAAAAAGCTACAGTAATAATCATAGTATTTGAGAGGAAAGAAAGCATTATTATTGTACCGTGGACAAGTCTTAGGGTCAGGAATTCACAACCTCAAAACAATTTATTTTTAATAGACAGGAGGGGGGAAGAAGAGGTGTCCAAGTACTCACTGCAACATACTTAAAGATCCTTATTACTACTCTTTGATCATCATCATATGTTTATTTCTATTACAAGGTCAGTCACTGGCCTTAGGTAGGCTCTACTTTACCAACCAGCAATTTCCTATGCACTTCCCTCTCCCATGCGCACGAAGACGTCCCCGTTACTCCATGTGGACGCAGGAGGGGTGCGTGGTCTCAACAGATTTTCTGCAAGAAGTCTTTGGGCCACTTTTACATCATTCGGATGGGAAATATAGCCTAAGCGGAATGGGTGTTTGAGGTTGGGTTTGGAAATCTCTTTTATATCCCTGAATCGAAGACACTTTGAGGTTTAAAAACTATAATTGCAGGTGGATGCCTTAGTCATTCCTGGAACCAGGCCTTTCGTTTGCATAATGCAGGAAAACAGCATCTGTCGCTCAGTCTCCAGGCCCCCCTTTTCCGAATCGGTTTCAGGGGAGCCTCGCTTGGTTCACGTAGTTTTCGCATTTCTTAGGCAAACAGCTTGTGGAAGATGCGCTCCAGAAGAGCTTGGGCTACATCATTCTTGTACGATTTCAAACTTTGTCAACTGTTGTTGAGTAATTAGATTCCAGATGGATCTTGTTTTCCTAGAAATCCCTTTTTAGGAGGAAGAAGCCAAATTGAGAAAAGTGACTGTAACACCTAGGCTCATTAAAGGACGCCCCTCAAAAAAAAAAAAAGTTCAGGGCTGATGCTAAAAGAAGCTATGGAGCCAAGCCCGACACAAATGCTCCGCCGCTACGGAAATTATTAGGGCCTGGACTGCGAAGGCCTTGCCTACGAGAGGGGGCACTGGAGAACTTCCGCACACGCGGCGGTGAAGCACGCATCCATAGGAGAGCGAGGGGGACTGAGCTGCCCAAACATCGCCGGGGATATTTCGGCCAGTCTTTCTTGCTCCCGAGGTCGAGCCCCTCCTCTGTAGCCCTCGGACAGAGTAGAGGTAAAGGTCCCTAACTCAGTTCCTAACTTTCCCCTTCCTTGAAGGCGCAGAGTTGGCAGGAGGGGTACAGAGGAGGAGCTACGTCTCGGTGGCGCTCAGTTAAACCTGGCTGGGGTCTGCATTCCTCCCTCCCCCCCGTCTTCCCCGAATGATTCTTTCTTCGTCTAGCTTTTAAATCCAGTAGTTCATCGTTCGGAGCGCGCGGGCGGGGAGAACCGAGGGCGAGCTCGGGGTTCGCCGCCGCGCGCGCTCAGGCAGCAGCGTGGCTGTGACCCCCTCCCGGGCCTCCTTCCCCCTCTCCTTCCTGCCCCTTCTTCCCCCGCCTTCCTCCCCTCCTCCCCGCTCCGCCGCCCGCGCCCACTGTATCTACTCCCTCCCCACGTCACTCGCCAGCGCGCCATGCAAATCACCGCCGCCGCCAGCTCCCATTGGCCGCGGCGCGCTCATTTAATGGCAGCCCGGGCCCGGCGTATGGCTGCTGGGCCCCGCGCGCCGTCGGCCCGTGTGCGCCTCCGCTCCCAGCCCACAGCCCCGGGCAGGAGCGGGCAGCCCGTCCCGGATTCGGTGGCCCCGGCTTCCTGGCCTTCTCTGCGCGCCTGCGCTCCCTAGGCTGCCCCCGGCCCCCCCCCCCCTCCCGGCGCCCCCTCCGCGCCTTGCTCCCCGCCAGGCACCTGGGACCCGCACACGCCCCGCGCACGCGGCGCACCGCCCTGTTAGAAGTTGCAGCCCCGGAGTTGGAGGCCGCTGAGGACCGAGTGCGAGAGAAAGGAGGCAGCGCGCAGCGGCGGCCGGGGAGGAGGCGGCGGCGAGCCCTGGACCGGGCCCCGCGAATCACTCTCGTCCCGGAAAGTGGACCTGCAACTTGGCCACGACTGCACCTGTTTGTATCGCTCTGCCGAGGGCGACCCGGCTGCGGCGAGGACGGCGACTCCGGCCATCAGCCTCTTTCGCAAGTGGTTTGTGCTCGAGGAGAAACTTTCCACCTGTGAGCCGGACGGGCGCTGAGTGCGTGTGTTTTTGCCTCTTTTTTGTTGTTTTTGCCTCCATCCCCCCCCCTTCTCTTTGCTAAGACCTCTCCCCACACACCCACCCCCAAGTCTCGCTCTGTTTGAGCCCCCCTCTGTCTCCCCGCCCCCCGACCGTCTATGCTCCAGGCCCTCTCCGCGCGGTGCCGGTGAACCCGCGAGCCGCCCCAATGTACAGCATGATGATGGAGACCGATCTGCACTCGCCTGGCGGCGCCCAGGCCCCCACGAACCTGTCAGGCCCGGCCGGGGCGGGCGGCGGCGGGGGCGGCGGCGGTGGGGGTGGTGGCGGCGCCAAGGCCAACCAGGACCGGGTCAAGCGGCCCATGAACGCCTTCATGGTGTGGTCCCGCGGGCAGCGACGCAAGATGGCCCAGGAAAACCCCAAGATGCACAACTCGGAGATCAGCAAGCGCCTGGGTGCCGAGTGGAAGGTCATGTCCGAGGCCGAGAAGCGGCCGTTCATCGACGAGGCCAAGCGGCTGCGCGCGCTGCACATGAAGGAGCACCCGGATTACAAGTACCGACCGCGCCGCAAAACCAAGACGCTGCTCAAGAAGGACAAGTACTCGCTGGCCGGCGGGCTGCTAGCTGCCGGTGCGGGCAGTGGCGGCGCAGCCGTGGCCATGGGCGTGGGTGTGGGCGCGGCGGCCGTGGGCCAGCGCCTCGAGAGCCCGGGCGGTGCGGCGGGCGGCGGCTACGCGCACGTCAACGGCTGGGCCAACGGCGCCTACCCCGGCTCTGTGGCGGCGGCGGCCGCAGCCGCTGCCATGATGCAGGAAGCGCAGCTGGCCTACGGGCAGCACCCGGGCGCGGGCGGCGCGCATCCGCACGCGCACCCTGCGCACCCGCACCCGCACCACCCGCACGCGCACCCGCACAACCCGCAGCCCATGCACCGCTACGACATGGGCGCGCTGCAGTACAGCCCCATCTCCAACTCGCAGGGCTACATGAGCGCCTCG